TAGGGTGTTTTATTAACCAATAATATCGACATGACAAAATACCTAAAAATTCGTTCAAAATATTTATTTTTCTCTTTTGATGATCCAAAAATATATTTCTACCTATTATAATAATTTTTATCTTATTTAAAATTTATTGAGATTCGAAAGATATCTTTTTAGAGATATAAAATTTACTTTATATTTACGGGTGGTAACACATTAAAAAAAATAATTTTTTTTATCAAATGAAAATGATCTCATAGAATATATGCCAAGATATCTGACTTAAAAATCTAAATATTATATTTTAGATAATCAAACTATAATTTTAAATAAATAATGCTCTAAAAGCAAACATTTATAAAGATTTTAAGAAAAAAATTATGAATTATGTATATGTGTATTTATATATAATATGTAATATCAAACTTACGTTGTATTTCTTGATCAAAACTTGAAAATAACAGGTTACTTCTTATCATTAATAATAATATCGAAATATATATCTTCTTCATTATCGCCTTGATTAGCACCTGAAATAAACAATTAAATTCAAAAATATTAGTAATATATTTTAACAAAATAAATTTTTGTAAAATAAGAAATAATGGTCGATCATTTTTTAATAGGAAAATGAAATAAGAACTCTGATTCCATAATTGAGACATGCATTATTTCATAGGGTTGACAAAAAACAGGATTTTTTGTGTGATTATATTACAATTTTTTTTATCAAGTTTTATTTTATAATTTTTTCTAAAATAATATATGTCCTGGATAAAAATTGACCCCCAACATAAAATTATTAATTGAACACATATTCATTTTATTGCATTAAGCATCTGTTTTTCTGTAAAATTTATGAATAAATTGAAGATATATTGGAATACTATCATATATCAATATTTAATATGCCCATAATAATTAATTGATTTAAATCGGGATTTTTATTAAAAAAAAAATCAATTAGATGACAATTCTATTTCATATATTATATGCTACCCATTTATTTTATTTTGTTAAACTGTTTACAGCGACTTCGCTTTAATAATTTTCGGAAATATTATTAACTTATCTTATTAAGGGTGTAGTCAAAATTTTATTTTTTTAAAAATGAATTTATTATTGAAATTTACAAATTCGAGTTTAGACGCATAATATATAAATGCGAGAATTAATTAATTTTTTTAAAATTTTTTGGAATTGGACGCACATTAATATTCACGACTTATATATGAATGTTTAATAAATTTAAATTAAAAATATACCCGATTTAGAGGTTTTAAATAGTGTACCTGTGATAAGATTGTGAATAAGGCCCGAATTTAAAATTTAAAAAATGGAGTATAAACTCAAGAAGTTGATTTTCTTTTTTATATAGGCAACAGTCCATGCATATTAGTACTATCAATTTTTTTAGAATGTGAACCCAAATAATTTATTTATGTAAAATTAAAAACAAGGATAAATTTCTTTAAAAAAATTGCTGATTATTCAATAATTAAATATAATTTTTATTACAATTTTCATCATTTTTAAAGTTCATTTATTTAACTATTTTAAAGTTTTAAGGTTAGACACCTTTTTTAGTAAATATTATTTGACCTTTCATAATTGTTATCAATAATCTATTTTTTCTATGTCCATTAAAATTTAAAATTTGTTCAAAACATACGAATATTAGTAAAACCATCATTAGTAATTAAACTTTAAAAAAAACAAAAGAAAAACATCTATAATTTTTAAAAATAATATTTTATTTTCGTAATAAATACTAAACAGGAAAGTTTATTGTAAATTTTTATATATAACTAATCAATAAGAATTTAAATTTAAGCCTGTGTCAGAGACAGAAGAAACCATGTAAACCAAAAGATTGACTAAAACATTTAATTTCATTTTAAAATTAAACATACTGGAATTTTTAAATTTTTCAGAGATGTGAACCTGAACCCGGACCCTAAACCCTCGTATTTTGACTGTACTTGAACCCGGACCCTAACCCTTTTAAAAGTGGAGGGTCCAAGGGTTCTAGGTGTAATAAAAAAAATTTAAAAATAATATATTTTTAAAAAAAGAATATAAATTTTTTTAAAATTTTATTAACTCTTTTTCGTGGAATTATTTATTTTATTTTGGCGTTTTTCTTTCAATTTTCTTCATGGACTTCCATTTTATTTAGAGATTGATATCATAAGTTATTTTCTAGTGTAGGTAACAGAAATACGTTGATTATTTTGAAAATGAATTATTTTGTAGCGAAAGTAATAATATTTTAATTTAAATGATAATGCACAACACGTTGGTCCTCAATTTGTATGATGTTAGATCGATTATTAATTTTGAAAGATATTTATAATGATTTTATTATATGAACATTTGAAGTCATTTTGTCGGAAGATGATTGGTGCCAAATAAAGGACCTTACTAGTGTATTAGTTCCTTTAAAAATAACAACATTAAGATTACAATCAGAACAATTATGTTTATCTGATTTTGGCATATGGATTAGTTGCTGATTAGATTTAGAAAATTTACAGTCCTTTTCATACGAAATATTAGAAAACATGAAAATTCTAGAGCAACAATATTTGCAAAATAGTGTTGTATACGCTTCTATATATTTAGGCTCTCGATATAAACTTCTATTGGATATTGAGCAAAATCAAATTTAAGGATTTAGAAGAAGAAAATATAAACGACCAATCCAAATCATAAAACTATATGGTGGCTATAGCCTCCTTTTAGATTACATGATGGAAGCTAGATAAGTAATCGATAAAATTTTTGAGATATTGAATTTCTAAAAGATTATCTTCCATTTTTAATGATATATAAACGACTACACAGATGACCATTATTTCTTATCTAAAATATGCAATCATATGCTCTCAGCAGCTATAGTAATAATCTTAAATTACATAGTCAAAAATAATAGATGCTGGTTAATTTGCAGTCATAGCCATGACACTCACGATGGTAACCCATATCAGAATTAATTATGTTTGATAAATTGATAAAACAAAAACAGTAAAAATCTTTAGAAGAAATTATACAAATATATTGAAGTTTTGAGTTATTTACACGGCAAGGATGCCTTATTAGAAATTAAACATTTTGTAACTATAAAATAAGAACCAGAGTGATATGATGAAAGTAATTAAGATTTTATATATTGTCGCACCGCCTTTAGTTGGTATATTATATCTTAAAATAATAATAGATTGTAATAATATCAAAAATATATTCGTATTAAAAATTTAACTCAAAACTGTTTTTCAAAGAAGAAAAAAATAGCTTTCCTAAAAACACGTAAAAAAAGGAGAAGAAAAGATATCTAATTTATTGTACATACATTGTGGATTGAATAATAAGAAGGTTAATTTTAATAATATATTTAATAAATAGATTGCGTTAAATAATTGAATGCAAATTGTTACTTAAATTTATTATCAAAAGCATTTATTAATAAAATTTTAAAATTATTAACTGTAATATATTATATAACTGTCAAATATGTCTGTAAAAGTGGCATTTTACCTAATATTTTATAAATAATTATATATAATAAAGGATTATAAACTATTTATCTACTTACTTCTTATAAATAAATATCATATACTCATCTGGATTTGGACCTTGAAAATAATTTTAGGAAGAGACATGATAATTAAATTTAAAAATAAAAATGTAGTTGATTAGTGATTTTGAACTCGGCTAATTACAATATTAAATTTGTTAATTTTCAATTAATAAATGATTATATTTATTTAATTAAGGTTATATAATAATTTCAATCATAAAAGTCAATTAAGTTTCAACTGTTAATGCTAAATTAATATTTAGTGAGTGATTTTATTATATTTTTAACACAGAATTTGATTGCAAGCTGACAGAGTGAACATATAATTTATATGTATAATCTAATCTAATAATTAAGATACTATTCATAATAAAAGTTTAGTTTTATTAATTTTTAAATAATAAAATTAAATCTATATATTACTAAATAGAATTATAAAAGAAATCGTTCAGGGGGCAGTTAAAAAAAATTATTTTAGTTCAAGGGGATATTAAAGAGCAATTAAAAAAAAAATTTTTGCTTCAGGGGCTATTCAAATTTTTCAGGGGGCTCAAGCCCCTTCACTTCCCCTCCTAGCGACGTCACTGCCAATAACACCCTCTCACTCCCTTACAATTTTTCTAAAATTACAGTCTTCATAAATACCCCACTCCTCAACCTTCAGTGCTAATATCGATCTTTTCATACTCCCTCCCCTTTCCCGTCTGTAGGTTCCTGGGTATGACAATCGGTGCTGAGTCCTATAAATATGCTTAATTCATCCGTGGATAACACCGTTACAAGCTTTTATTTAGTATGATATAGCCCTCAATGCCTATTAGCAGTATTATTTTTCTTTTATTAAATCAAGGCTTTTATAATCACAGTTTGCAAGTTCCCTAAAATATGTTTAACAAAACGGGTAAAATTACTTTCTTTTATGAAGAATTATAAGGGCAAGGAAGGTTAAGAGGTGAAATTATTTCCCAAAACCTTGTTATTTAGAATCCTGATAACACATGGTATTGGTAATATAAAAAAGTTTCTACAAGTTAAAATTTTTTTGTAATAACGTTGCCTTTTTTTAGTTTAATTTCCAAAATAACCTATTTTAGCTAACATTTTCAAAATGACCCTTTCTTATAGCCTAAAATTTATAAAATTTACCTTTTTTGAGTATAAAAAAATATTTTATAATTTTCAGAAGGTCCTTTGATATTTTCAGGGGGCTCAAGCCCCTGACCTCCCCCCCCCCCCCCACCTTTAGTGCCGCTACTACATTTTTATTACTTGTTATATGAATTATTTGACAGATCATATATTATGTGCCATATATTAGTACAAATCAGACAAGTTACTTGGTGGTTATCACGAACATTTCTATGTGTAAACAAGCCAAACTCAAAAGTTATGATCTAGTCAATCCTAATATCAACTTCATCTTTAATGTGTATTCTTTCGATATTAATTAAAATTTAATGCCGGTTATAATCGATTATGGCATACACTTATTGCCAATTGCTATTTTAATTCTATTACCAGCTACTATACTAATTACCTATAGTATTGCTGTATCACTTAAGCATGTTACTCCAAGTTTTTATTATATATTTTTTAACTCTAATAAAAATATATAAATAGCCGGCCTTCCTTACATTAGTGATACTGGTACATTTTCTCCTGAAAGTTGTATTTTTGGACAATTATTAAATATGATTGGTTTTTTAATTGCGATCTTTGTCCACACTAGATATAATCAAGTCAAAATTTTTAATAAAATATTGAATCAAAGATCAAAAATTTATTGTGATAGGCTTAATTTATTAAGTTTGGTGTCAGGAATAATGTCTGCCTTAGGTTTTTATTTTTATAAATTTTTCAAATTATAATATTTTTTTATAGGACTTAGTTTAGTTGCAAATTTCCAAGAGACTAATGTCATAATAATTCATGTCATTGGAGCTTATTTAATTTTTGGAATAGGGGCTTTTTATTTGATCTTGCAAACATATTTTACTTACAAACTTCATATAGTTAATTCTATATATATTAAAACATCCAGAGTCATTGCTAATATAATCATATGTCTCTCATTTGTTTTAGTTATTTTGGGTGCAATTTTGGCTGGGAGAAATCCTTTAGAACTTCCTGCTCACCATAAATGGACTCCAGGTTTTAAATTTAATTATATTTATAATTATAATTATTATAATAATGAGATTGATTTTTGTTTGGAAAATTTTATTAAAGTTTATTTGAACTATATAAATAAAATTTCAATATTGATTATATAAGGAGTCATTCCATAACAAATTGACCAAAATAAACATTTCGAACCAATGAAAAAATGGAGCTTGAAATGATAATTATTCATGTTGTAAATTATAAAAAAATTTAAACTTTAGCTCAAATAGATTAGGAGTAATGAATTATCCAAATATAGATCAACTTTGCCCATCTAAAACTTGTCCCATTATGGTTTTTTGGGCTAGCCTAATCCAAAACAAGTTTACAACCAGGATGTCTCACCCCACCCTTTGCATAGACTGATCTGGCCCATGATTACTTTTTATGATGAAAAAGTCATAAATTTTATCCAGATTTTAAAAAAATCATGGCTGGCTCAAAAATATTTAGTGTAATTGAAAGATATTTTAAAAAAGTTTGACTTACTTTTTTTTTAAAGTCAGCCCAGCTTGACAGTTGGATGTGGGCATCATTTTGGTTTAAACATATTAGATAAAAATCCTTAAGTAACAAATTTAAGTGCCTTTGAAATTCTTATTAAAATTACCATAAATAAAATTTTAAAATTGTCAGTGTTGTGGTATTTCTGGTAAAATCGAAATAATTTTTTTCTAGAAGTGCTTCATTGATGACAAAATTCACAAGCTGAATCGCATACCACATATCTTTTGCAACATCTATCTAATACTTATTTTTTAAAATTGGACTTAAATGCATTTAGCTCCCTCAAGGGAGATCACTTCCTCTGCAATACATGCCTAGAATGTTCCTCTTTTATATGTCCAATAGCTAGGGTTGGCAAAGTTTGTGATTTTTTTAAAAATCAAAAATTGATTTAAATCGCGATTTTTTGATTTAAATGATGATTTAACAAATTTAGATCAAAAAAAAATCATACATTATATTTTTTTTTACCTTAGTATAATATTTCTTTGTAAGTAAAAAGTTAATGCTTTAGGAGATCCGGACAGGAAATTATTGAAAAAATATATATTGATTAGTCATGAGCCAATTTAATATTTTTTTTAATGAAAATCCAACTATATCAAAAATTGATAATATGTGCAAACTGTTTAAAAAAATTTAACTAGTTGATATCAGTGAATTGGAAGGAAAATCATTTATTTTCTAAAATGAATACTATTTCGATAATATATGTCTAAACCTTTGTTCCTTCTATAAGCAGAATCTTCAGACTTAATATTTTTCTGGATAAAATATTGAGTTGGCCATTTTTAAAAATCGGCTCAAAACCAAAAATTCTTTTAATTTTAACATCTAGATTTTGGTAGTTATCATGATAGTTCTCTTACAAAATTTAAAAAAACAAATAAAATATTATTTTTTAAATTGTATTTCATTATTCTAATTATAATTATGAAATTATTTTTTGGTAAATGCTAAAAAAACTGATGTTTTTGTTATTTTTACTAAATTTTATAAGTTTTTTTCTGTACTGTTAACCTGAACCGGGTTCAGAGACATTTCATTGAACCAGAACCCTTTTTTTAGAATGAGGGTTCACAGCCCTGTATTTCTAAAATAATCTAAATCTTTGTCTTTCCTTATATTATGTATTTTGATTAAATTGTAAATAAGTTATTAAAAATATTGATTTAAATCTGTTGTAATGGAGAAAATCTAAAATAAAAGGAAGAAACAAATTAGTATAATTAAAAACAAATTTAATGGAGAAAATCTAAAATAAAAAGGAAGAAACAAATTAGTATAATTAAAAACAAAATTAATAAAACATTTTAAGATATTTAAAGAAAAGAAATTATATGCAAAAAATAAAAAGTGAATAAATCCAAATTGTTAAACTTTTTAAGTATGAAAAATCTACAATTATCACGCGTTTTCATCTCATTTGCATAGTCTAAGACTTCAATAATTAAGTAACAATTTTAATAAAACATTATTTTTGTTTGAATATTATCACAATTTGAATAATAGATAACAGACTAATACAACAAAATCACTGATTTTTTTAAAAAAAATGGGGTGATTTAAATCAAATTGATTTTTATTTGCCAACCCTACCTATAGCTTACCATCCTTTTTAAAGTTTCACAAGCGATGAATTAATTAAAATCCCATCTATCATTTTTGATTTCACTTCACTCCAACTAGGCTTCACATTAATCATAAAAAGTCAGAATATTTATGCCTATCAACTTATATCCCATCCCGGAAAACTTTTCTATAGTCGAAAAATCTAACTACTCATATAGGATACCTATTGGATTTAGCGAGAATTTCTTGACCAAATTCGACTGAATTCAGAAAATCCTCGTTTTTTACCATCTCATCATTCATACTTTCTCCTTAAAAATTTCCTATACATTCCAAAAATATGCATGCCTTTCCTTTTGCTCCTCTCTCCCAGACATGTTATTAGATTTAAAATTTAAAGTTAAAATTAGGGCTGTGCCGATCCACATATTTTTCACCGATCCGATATTGCTTCAAACCCGATCCGATATTTTTACTGATTTTTAATCACCCCCCGTTTGAACCAAATGTAATTAAGAAATCAATATTTTTTATGCAAAAAATCTAATTATGAATTTAATTTAATTTTTTTATTTCTACAATTAAGACTAATAAAAAAATATATATTTAAATCCATTTTATATTGGTATGAATTATATAATATTTCCATAATTCAGATACCATATTTAAAAAAATTCTTTTATTTAAAGTATAAATAAAAAAAATTGGCGTTATTTAAAAAGATTTAAAATAAATAAAACTTTAGATGTTCCTTTCTATTTTTATAAAAAAAACTTTTAAAATACTATAAATCTATTTTTAAAAAGAAATAGAATTAAATAATTATTTAGAAAATATTATAATGTAAAATAAATATAAATAAAATAAAATAAAATAACAAAAAAAAGAAAAGTAAAAAAATCGGATCGGGTTTTTACAGGTATCGGTACGATCCAATATATTCGGAAAACGCTAAATATCGGTACCGATCCGATCCGATATTTAATATCGGCACAGCCATAGTTAAAATCTCCCTTGAAACAATAATCAAACCTTAAATTCCACCAGTTGCTGGCAAGCTACTCTTGCAAGTAAATTAGACCTATGAAAGTCACCCAAACACTCGCCTATCTTTCAGACAACAAGACTGGGACTTACCCTTATTTCAGAATTCTGTTTTTAGGGCGCCCTCTATATTTAACTCATAGATCACCTCAATAAATCAAAATAATATTTCTTCAACATTTCAACTCAGGTCATATGACTTGAGGCCATCTTAAGTTCCAACTTGCTTCTTTTCAACGGAGAACTTTAATTAGGAATTCGATTATTGCCAGAGCTCTTCGCTCAGCCAATATCCCATCGACGTTGGAGCTCGTATATTTAATTTCGGAGACATTATTAAGCCTGATGGAATGACACTCATTTAATGGAGCAACGGAATCCTGCTTTCCTGTTAAACATCCGTTGATCGTTTTTAAAAAAATTAATAAATATAGTAGGGATGTACCGATATTTTATATCGGGATCGGGCCGATATTTCGCTCATTTTAAAATATCGGTTATCGGCAAATATTATAAAATTTTCCGATCCGATATAAAATGGCGCTTTTAACAAAATTTAAAAAAAGTTATATCTAAAAAACAATTTATTTTTATAAATAAAATCGAAATACATTTTTATGTTTAATTTTTTTAATAGAAATAATTAGTTAATAAACATTCTGCAATATAGTTATTTTTTTTCGCATTCTGTTTAAAAAAGTGTTCATTAATCTCTTCAGTATCTGTTTTTAGTGATGCTAGTGATATTAACAGTCCCCATCACCGCCGACATATCTCTGATATAAAAAGAAATCTTCGATATATTAATTTTAAACATTAATTTCAAATTTCATAATATATTTTTTTATTACTAATTATGTAAATAGATTAATGTTATTACTTATTATATAAATAATAGCAATTGAATTTAATATAAACTATAACTGACCATTATAATATATTTAAATGACATATGTTATGGTATAGTAAAATTATAGATGTTGTACTAATAAAAAGTATATTAAAAATTAAAACCGGTATCTTTGCAGAATACAAAATTAGATATGATATCGGATCGGTTATCTTCCGATATCAATTTAATATCTGAAATATCGGATCGGATCGGCCCAAAAAGTGGTATCGGTACACCCCTAAAATATAGTAACATACCTAATATCACTTTAATCCACATTATTTCGGCACAATCGGTGCTTTCGGATCCAAAGCTCGGGATTTTTTTCAAAACTAGGCCAAAAATTATGTCTAATTTTGGGTGAGTAATGGTAATTTTGAATAAATACTGGAGAAATAAATATCATTTTATAGAAATATAAGAGTTTAAATATGAATATGATACTAATAAACATGTTTAGTAGGCTTCATAGTCTAAAAAGACGCCTTTATCGGATATTACATTTTTTAAATGGAAATACACGACACTGTAGATTTTGAAATCTTATTTATGATATTTCTTTTTAAAGAGAATTTCAAGGGTTACAAAATAATATATAATTTTGGACTAGGGAAAATATTTATCGAGTGATTTGAAATTCGCTAAACCAACATGATTTATACGAATTTTACAACATATTTAACTATGCCATTTTCATTCTTCTTAAATGGTGATATCCGAACTATGATACGGATTACAATACCTGTTTAAGATAAGTTACTCCAAATTTTTTTTTAGAATCTATATTCGTATTCTTTTAAAATAATTATTTTGAATCCCAGTAATGAGTATCGTAATAAATCTCCCAAAATGAGTGTGATATTAAATTAATTGACATTTTTTAAATTTATTTCCATTAAATTATTATAATTAAAAGTAGATTACTAGCTTATAGACATAACATGAAATTATTTTTTAGGATCCAAAGGTTATAGATGGCATGTTATCAGTGCTCTCTCCGAATGGGCTTTAGCTTTTGCATTCCTGCTTTACATGGGATCTTTTGTTTCCGAGTTTAGGGCATTAGAATGGGATTTTCCTCAGATTAAAATAAGAATTGAATACGAACCGTTATTATACGTTGGGACATTGAATATTAATCAACCTCGCTCAGAGCCAGAATATTCTAACGACTATCAAAATATTGGTGGTGATCCTTTTCTAGCAAACAAAATAAATCATGTTGTGTAAGGACCACATAAATATTGGTGGAAATCGTATGAGTAAAACAATGATTTAAATTTGAATTCATGACTCAATGATCTGATCACAATGAAGAAAAAAGAAGTAGTGAATATCATATTTTTTTTAAAAAACTATTTAAATTAAAATTTAAATGTCTTTTAATTTTAAACATTTGTTTATAATCTTTAATATAATCAAATGACCATTTTATATTTATTTATGAAATATATATGCGCAGTTTTTAATTTGTTTTTGCTCGATCTCATAGTTCAATGTGTTTACCTTAGGAAAAGTTATTTGGTTCTAATAACAAATACAATAATATTCATATTTAATAGCATTCAAAGAATAAAAAAAAAATTATGTTCCTCTAAATTATGTCCCCACACATTTCTATCGTTCACGAAATCATTCATTATGTTTAAGCAAGCAATTTAATCCTTTGAATTTTCAACAGGCTCAGCCATCAGGGAGATTTAGGGTTCAGGGTTATTTTATTTATTGAATAAAATCACATTATTACAATCGATAAAATATATTATATAATTTAATATACTCATGGATGTAAAAGAAAAAAAACAAGTTATAAAAAAATTATGAAATTGGAAAATTTTCAACAAAATATTGGCAAATTATATTTTCTAAAATTAGTTAATAATAAAAAGTAATTGAAACCGAAAAAAAGATTTTTTTTCATTTCTATACGAAATAAGATATTTCATTATATCGTTCATTAATAATATTACTTACTTAAGTATTTCCCGAGTAATGATATATTGCTATTAACACCCAGGGATGTTAATTTTTATTATAAGAAATTTCCAATAAATTTAAGGAAAAATCGGAAAACAAGGGATACTTCATTAAAAAAAATCTACTATTCAATATTGAATTTTTTTAGTTTTCATATAAAGGAAGTGGTCTATTATTATGAATGAATTATAATTTAATTTCAATTGCTTGTCTTTATTTTTTTAAGGAGATTTCAAATCAAATCTTAAACATCAAGAATTAAGCAATTAATCATTCTAGCGCTACTATCTATTTAAAATGGCGCCCTGTTAGAAATTAGTTTTCCTACCTTTTCGTTTTAAAAAAATCCCATTTTGAAACTTAAAGTTTCGTCATTCTTTAATCGTATCGTATCGCCCTTTCATCTGTTTCCTCTCACTTCCATCAAGCTGGGTAAAAAGGAGTTTGAATAAATATTTACGGTTTATTTTCTAGTAATCTATTAATATGAATAAGCTTGTTAGTTATTTTGAGTATAATTTGAAGTCTTATTCAATTAATGTAAAGAAAAAATTAAAAATTTTAAAGTTATACAGGCAAAAATTTTATTTTTAATAGGGAGACCAAAAAGTTATAAGGTTTATATACAAACGAAATTTAAGAATCCGTTAAATCAAAAATAACTTAACTACTATGATAATTATCTTAAAATCATCAGTATCATTTAGGACTATGAATTGACACTCTTACTCTCATAAAATTATTAATAAAACTGAAAATTTAAAACTTATTAATTATTAAGCCTCTATATGACATGCTGATCTCAAAAAGTTTTTATAAGGATTGTATATAAATTAAATTTAAAAAAATCATAAATATTATAAATTAAATTAAATTTACTTTTAAAATACTTTAGCAATTACAATTTACTTTGTTCATTAAGCTATTAACTTATGCTAAAAATATTTTTGAAAGATATTTTATATATAAATTCAATCACATGTTTGAATCAAACATGTGATAAAACTGGGTACATAATTTGAAAGTTGAATGAATAAAAATAAAAAACATTTTTTCAAATGATTAATGTGTTCATTTTATAAAAAGAAAAAAACAATATAAAAATTGTGGAAATTTCCAGGAAAATTCAAAACTTGTCATTTTTCTTGGAAAATTTTCTCTAAGTTACATTCCTATTAACACCTCTTTAAATTTCTCCAATCATTTCTTTTAAATAACCGATTTATATATTTTTTCTCCAATACACTATGCAACCTACCCGTTCAACCTAACGCCATACGCGGTCTAAACTGCACCCGCAGCCAAGGTCGCCATCTCCGGCATAAAGCAATTAATAAAATCATACATAACCAGGGTTGCCATGTCCCCCCCCTTCAGTGGGAGACTCCCGCAATTTTTTAGTTTACACGCAGACATCTCTTTCCCGCAAAACTAGCGCAATTGGAAATCTACCGCAATTTTTTAATTTCTCCCGCAATTTTTTATTTTTTAGTATTTTATTTTTAATATATAAATAATAATTTTGAGAGACATTAATTGATTATTTTTAAGATAAATTTTAAATATTTATTCGAAAAACATGTCTAGTTTGTAAATTTCTTTCTATCCTGTTTTATTTTTATCCAATAAATCTTTCATTCATATAAGTCAATACAGGGGAGTATATCTACATCAATTGCAATACAAAAATATTCTCAAAAATGATAAATAATACAGATGCAACTACATTTGCGGAAATCGTATACATCTATCATGTAGTTCAACGTGAACAGAGCTATATCATCACAATGTGGGTCGAATCTTTTTCTCATGATATTTAACGACTCCAATATAAGTGCAAACCTTACTTGTGGCAGAACAAAAATGAGCAAGGCTATCACAAGTGTTATAGTACCTGAATCCTAGAGGTCAATTCTAGACGATTTGAAAGATGGGCATCCATAATCCATATTCAATTCTAACAGATGCATCTAATAAGGGAAATATTAAAACATATCCCCCTACCCTATTTCAACAAGAATAAGAACATTTCAATAAAACTGTAAAAAATTTTCCTCGGATAGTGAAAAATCCAACATTGTTGCTAGCCACATAATAGTAAATATAGCTGATCCAGGGTTATCAATGATTTGTATGTCAGCTTTCTGCGCTGATAATGCCTCTGTAAATTTTGGCAAAAACCAAAGTTACCGAATTGAGGCAGCACAATAATGAATTAATACCAATTGGCTGTATATACTACATAATTCTTGCAAGAAGGCAATGAGTGTACTATCTGGATGTCTAAATAATTGTGATAAAATGTTTTAACGAATTTAGTTCATCAACTAAAAGTGTTAATGAATTAAAAGAGTTACTGAAGTGGTCTGACTTGGGTGAGTTGTTACGATATATACCTATCATGTGGTTCTCATTAATACCTGCCATCGATAGAATTTTAAAATTTTACAAACTTAAAAAAACTTCAAATATAGATTTAAAAAGCTGTCCTAAAATTTTGAAAAATTTTTTAGAGTATGAAATGGCAGAAGCATATTTGGGATTCGTTTCACATGTAGGAAATCTACTTCATGCAGTTAATATTCAGTTGCAATCATAATATTCTTTATTAAAAAAGATTCACAAAATCATGCTGCAGCTCTGTTCATCTCTACAGTTAAAAATTGATAATAAATTTTAGGCGCTCTTGCTAAAAATATTATATTAAAATGTTCAAATAATACTATAATTAATACATTTTTAAATGAAGCAGATATTTTTATCAAGACAATTTTAGAATATTTACAATCAAAATTTGATTTTAATAACTCTATTTACAAATGTATAAATATTATGACCTTGGAACAGAAACCATCAATTGATGGTTTTTATAATTTTATAAATATGTTAAAAATACCGAAAGACATTGATGTCTGATTTGAGGAGATTTTAATTCTCTCTATTTTTTATGATTCGCCAAAATACTTAAAGTTAGATGGTCTAAAAGCAGAGGAGAAATGGGTAGAATTTTTTTGTAATAACAATAAATCCCCATGCTTGGACAAAATATGCGAGTATGTCTTCTCCTTACTTCATTCTAATGCCTCATCCGAGCGCATTTTTAGCCATATGAGGACTGCTTGGATAAATGAGAGAAATCGGATTGCTTTAACATCATAAGAGGCCGAGCTAATGGTTAAACAAATATATAATATGTCATGCCAGGAATTTTATAAATATCTCAATAACGACGGTAAACGTTTAGTTCTATTATTTAAATCTCAAATAAAATATAATTAAGTTTTAGCAATGGCGCCATAAAATTTATATTTTCAACTGTAAAGATGAACACATCTTCAGCATAATTTTGTGAATCTTTATTAAAATTCTTTTGATTGCAACTACACATTAACAGCATGTAGTAAATTTCCTACATAAATCATTCCTAAATATACTTCTGCCATTCATTATTGAAAAAAATTTTCATAATGTTAGGACAGCTTTTATAATCTTTATTTAAGAAATATTTTTTTAAAGGTTTATAAAATTTTAAAATTCTATCGATGGCAGGTATTAGAAACATATCGCAACCAACATTGTGCTGACTCAATTCTGTAAATGCACTCTATTTTTACCAAATTCACTAAGGCATTATCAGATCAGAAAGCTGACATGCAATTTACTGATAATCTCGAATATGCTATATTTACCATTATTGGATTTTTCACTATTTGAGGGGAAAATATTTAATAGTTTTATTGAAACGACCTTAATTTGTTGAAATAGCGGAGGATCAAGAGAGATATTTTAATATTTCTCTTATTAGATGCATCTGTTAGAATTGCATATGTAGGCCCATCTTTCAAATCGTCAAGAATTGACCTCCTGGATTTAGGTCCTAAAATATTGATGATAGCCTTGCTCATTTTGTTCTACAAGTATAGTTTTCATTTATATTAGAGTCGTTAAATATTATGGGAAAAAGATTCTACCAACATTGTGATGATAAGTTTTTATGTGAATGTTGTACTACAAGATAAGTGATTACAATTGCTACAACTGTAGTTGCATCTGTATTATTTCTTATTTTTGAGTAGCTTATTATGTATTTAAACGTGATATGTGATAATTAAGCGCCTATTCCTATAATGTTATACACACACGGTAGATTTCCAATTGCGATCGTTTTGTGGGACATTCGCATAAAATACATTTTTAATTTTAAAATTAAAATCGTTTTTTTTTATAAAATTTTATCTTGTTTACATTCTTTTATATTTAAAAAAGATTGTTGGTTTTTTTAAAATTAATATATTTTAATTTATCAAGATGTTATTTTATTTTGAAAAATAGTTACCGACTTTGTATTTATATAAACTAATTTTAAAAAATAATAGGCGGATAATTAAGTCAATTTAAAATCCCGGCCAAAGGCCCGCAAAAATTTTTTTTTTAGCAATTTTATATTTCTACCGCAATTTTATATTACTCCCGCATAATACCAAATATCTCCCTCAATTTGAAAATTTTGACCTGGCAACCCTGTACATAACGCTTTTAATAAGGCTAAAATACCCAACATCCTTGAACCAACCAACCTCTCATTACAGGATGGTCTCAGACCCGACGGCTTAACCTGCACCCCCTGGTCCAATGAAAAATCCCTTATTTGGGATGCAACCTGCGTATCCTCTTTTCCTTCATCAATGAATACAAACCGTCTTACTTGTGGGAAAAATAAAAAAATTAATAAATATTCAAAATTAAATAACTATATTTCAGCCAAAAGTCATTTCAACTAACGGCAATTTTTCTCAGTCTACATATATTGTTTTAAAAACTTTATTACGAAAAATTTTTAGCATAATAAACGAAAATCGCGAATCCTTAT